AAAACTATATACCAAATATCAAATCAATATCTTCGAACATGAAGGAAAATAAATGGGGAATGTGTCCACGATACAAAGATGATGTCCCTGTTTCAGAGATGCAAACAGTTTTTTTTTTCTGTCAGACATTGGGGCCTACAGGGTAACAAGTTTTGCCAGACCCATCAAATTTTTGACAGACCTACATGTACATTTCTTTTGTATACAGTAAGAGAATGAAGATAGGATGTCTTTACAGTGACAGGTGTTTTAGTGGATTGTTTTTAGAAAATTCAATTGAATTCTATCATTTAATAACTACTACAATATACTTTAAATTTTTTTATTGTGTACCACTGAACTGCAGGCTAGGGCCTTTCTCATTTTTTTGTGACGGTACTCTTAAAATTTTTAATTGATTACAACTTTCTCAGGAAAGTGAGGACTTAAAAGTCTATTCAGTTTAAAATTTCCCCCTTGATTAAGTTCCCAGTTACAACTCTCATCACAGGGATACATGTACTTACAAAAATCAATCAGATTGATATAAGCTGTGTGCAGCTTGTTTCCGGATCCAACATTTTGTTATCCTTGTATATTTTGATATATTTGTAAATTTTATGAATAAATATGTTTAAACTACAAAAAACACCATTTGAAAATTTTATAATTTTTTACCATTTTCAATGATTATGTTGGTACACAAAATTTTGTTTTAATGGAAGACTACTTATCATATACTAAATGTCACAATTTATGTGTTCAGATACATGAACTTTTATTTTGGTGGATAATTACTCATCAATAGAGGTGCTCCTGTGTTAGAGGAAGATTCGCAATACAGTTACAGAAAAAATGAAAAAAAAACGTTTCTCTCCCTAATCTCATGTATCCCCATTGTTTACCGCAAAAGTTGACCTACAAATTAAAGCATTGATGGTTGAATCATCTACAGCAAACATAATTATGTTTAATAAAACAAATACCGATTTTAAGATCGTACCAATTTCTGTGAATGGTTTTATGAGTAAAGGATATCCCTGCTTCTACGTAGTGTGGAATTCCAACCATGACGTCACTAGGTTGGATATATTTAGAATTTTTCGTAATACTGATTTTTCAGGATTGTAAAAGAAATGTAAATAGTGTGGAGAGCTCGAGATACGATAATTTCACGAGAAACAGAAGGGAAATGTATAAAAAAGTGTTTTAAAGTCAATCTGTTCATTTGTTTATCTCGATCTCATCAATTCAGTATGATATTTTGAGGTGTTTTCCAACTATAAAAACAAAATGATTGACGTGAGAGGCTTGGAAGTCTGGCCAACCAAATAAGGAATTGCCGTCTTTCCCCAAAAACTGATAAAATTATTTCTGGAAACAACTTTTTGAAGCAAGTGCAGTCCTGGGAACTCTGGTAAGTAGAGTCAACTGAACAATAATAATTACCTAACAAATTTTTTTAAATAGTTCTCCAAAAAATCCAATTAATCCGACTAGTTGCAGGAAAATAAGTAAACACCTGGGTTGTGGTTATATCTAACCCTGTTTAATAACTCACTTGCCCTTTTACAGCTAAATCAAAACATAGAATTAAAGTTTGCTTATGAGATCAGTGAACCATTGGATATGATTCTTTCTCTTCATATTTAAGTAGTTTTATACTTTCCAAGACCACTTGATTATTTGATTATTTATTTATAATCAACATGTTGTTTGTAGGATCTCATTTCTTCATTGGTCAAATTAAAAATATGACTTCAAGTTTTCTTGCTTCCCTCTCAATTTGCTATTGTGACGTCACGAAAAAAGGGGACCATGTCTCATGATGTCACATAAGAAGAAAACATTTGTTTCCAGATCATTGGAAAAGAAATATCAATTAAGTTTTAAAATCCTTAGAGAAACAGATGCCACCATCAAATCTCATGCAATACATAAGTCACAACAGTTAAAGGAGAAGGTCCAGTATTGGCTTATTTTGGCCTAAAATTTGAAGAACATCTGATGAAAGATCTTTGCCATTTTTGTCGAGCCTGCAACTTTTGTCGCAGAAAGCTCGGCATAGGGATAGTGATCCGGCAGCGGCGGCGGCGTTAGCTAATTTCTTAAAAGCTTTGTATTTCAGAAGGTGGAAGACCTGGATACTTCATACTTTGTATATAGATGCCTTATGTTACGAAGTTTCCGTCTGTCATATGTCCATTGTCCTTGACCTCATTTTCATGATTCAGTGACTACTTGAAAAAAAAGTTAAGATTTTTCGTAATGTTAATTTCTCTCTAAAATGAGTAATATGATAACTATATTTGGTATGTGCATACCTTGCAAGGTCCTCATGCCCGTTAGACAGTTTTCACTTGACCTCGAACTTATTTCATGAATCAGTGAACAAGGTTAAGTTTTGGTGGTCAAGTCCATATCTCAGATACTAGAAGCAATAGGTCTAGCATATTCGGTGTATGGAAGGACTGTAAGGTGTACATGTCTAACTGGCAGGTGTCATCTGACCTTGACCTCATTTTCATGGTTCAGTGGTTATAGTTAAGTTTTTGTGTTTCGGTCTGTTTTTCTTAACCTGTATGCAATAGGTCTACTATATTTGGTGTATGGAATGATTGTAAGGTGTACATGTCTAGCTGGCAGGTGTCTTCTGACCTTGACCTCATTTTCATGGTTCAGTGGTCAATGTTAAATTCTTGAGTTTTGGTCTTTTTTTCTAATACTATATGAAATAGGTCAACTATATTTGGTGTATGGACATATATTATGATGTATATGTCAGTCTAGGTGGTTTTATTTGACCTTGACCTCAATTTCACAGTTCATAGCTCAGTGTTAAGTTTTTGTGTTTTGGTCAATTTTTCTATTACTATAAGCAATAGGTCAACTATATTTGTTGTATGGAAGGATTGCAAGCTGTACATGTCTGCCTGGCATGGTTCATCTGACCTTGACCTCATTTTCATGGTTCATTAGTCAATGTTTAGTTTTCTTGGTTAAGTCTGTATCTTAGAAACTATAAGCAATAGGTCAACTGTATTTAGTGTATTGAATGATTGTAAGGTGTACATGTACTTCTTGTTTGGTTTATATGACCTTGACCTCATTTTCTTGGATCATGTTAAGTTTATGTGATAGTTGAAGTAAAGCTTTATATTTAGAACTATCAACATAATATCAATGATTAGTAAAGAAGGCGAGACATTTCAGCGTGTGCACTCTTGTTTAAATACTTGAGTGTCTTTTTCATTCGATTCAATTAGTATATGTAAAAGACGAACTGATTTGGTCAATAAAGACGCCTAAATTCAAGCTCAAATATGAAAAATATATCAAATATGCAACAAAACGTCACTTTTTAGATGGTTTTTGTCTAAATTGAAAGTGGCCGCAGTTGTGTTCAGTCTCAACCTTTATATATTTTCTGTATCATCATCAAATACAACATATATTTAAATATTAAGACTGAACACAAGTGTGGCCACTTCCATTTTAGACAAAAACCGTCTAAAAACAAGCATTCTGAAAGTATTGCATGGCAATACAGTCCCCTACCGGATAAAAATTCACTTTACTGAAACAAAATGCTAACTTGTTCTATAACTTGTCATGGTGTAAACAAAAAGTAAATATCATGTCAATATCTTCAAGCATGACTAAAAACAGCGTGGAAAACTGGTTATATGAGTGAAAAAAACATAAGATATGATTAATAGTTCTCTAAAATTAGAAATGATGTAATACAGTGTATATCTATTTTCAAATTATAATCAAATATAATTAATAGTTCCAAATATTTTTTCTTTCATTTGTCACAAACTAATATATATTTGTAACTTATCTATAAAATGTCAACAACTTTTATCTACACAATGTAATGTATTGAAATATATACATTAATAAACATAGCATTCAGAAAATTAGTTTATACTAAATAACAAACAAACCTGCCAAAAAATTCTTCAAATAATTTAACAAAGAATGTCTTTTAAAAAATGAGTTATCTCCCTTTGTACAGATATATAGTTTAACATAGTACTCTAACATTAGTTATGAAGTTTTTTTATGGACCATAAATCTGGACTAAATCATCAGACCGGAACGAAATTCGAACTTGATCTATAACTTGTCATGATAAAACTATATACCAAATATCAAATCAATATCTTCAAGAACAAAGAAAAAAAGTGTGGAAAGCTGATTTGCCGGACTGACGGATGGACAGACGGACGGAGTGCAAACCTAAAGTCCCCTTCAACTTCGTCAGTAGGGGACTAATTAGCACAAATGCTAAAATTGTGAAGATTTTAGTAATTTTGCATGAATTAATGATGCTTGTATCTGATGCATGTGCAGTATAATGTCAAAAACAAGCCCATATTTATGTAACAAAAGTATTCTTCTTTCCAATAAATAGCTAAAAGTTTACAATTTTAAAAAATTTTTGAAATGCTATATTTTGGGGCCAAAAAGGGGTCTTACCAGGCCTACTCCTTTCAAATATTTAAAATGCTTGGCAAGCCTCCAATTTTAAATTTGTCTCATATGGAGAAATATCATATCACAATTGATGCAGTGGTAGAATCTATATTATCTATTAAATCATTTACTTATTTATGTTTATATATGATCTTACCCGACAAGTCCTTTTTGACAGGAGCATTCAGATAAACTTTTTTACTTGGGCGGTATTCATCTTGCGATGACAAACCTACAACAAAAACATACAAAATGTAGCATAAAACTTTTATCTTAGTCTGATTATGGATTAAGCTGATCTTTGAATCACCAATTTATAGGTTTTGAAAAGTTCTAGAAACTTGAGGTGTTCCTGTATTTTTTTTAAGAGTAAAAAAGGAAAACATTAATTTGCAAATAAAATTAGAAATTAGTCAATTTAAAAAAATACAACTTTCTCTCAAGAAGGAGGCATGTAGTTAGCTGGATTGCCACTTGAACAGTCTATCTATACTGTTTAACAATGAAGTGACTACAGGTCCATTTCTTACCTTTACGATCCATCTTAAAATCCAGAGCAAGAGGTTCCAGACCACCCTCATTATTTTTCCCCAGCCCTGTCCCCTGTTGCCAGCCCATCTTTTGAAGCAGAGCCATACCAATACCTCCCTTTACTGGAGCAGCCCTGTTGAACTGGTCCTGCAATAACATAATAGTATACTACAATGTATCGACTATAGAGGTATCAATAGGCATGGTAGTAAATTATTAAAAACACTGAATACTGATATAACATGTTAGATGTTTTATTATCTTACTTATCAATGAGAGGCCATATTAACCCTCAAACTAGTCAAAATATTGTTTAAATTGGAAAATTCAATGGACCTCAAATATATACTTTTTTAATGAAAGACATACAGAACATGAACTGTTTATTTATGCTAATATACTGTAAATTCAGAAATAATTTTGTGCTTTTATTATTATGAGTGTTGAACAAATGGCAAAAATGTGAAGATTAATTACTGTAATTTCAGGAAATGCTGTATAAAAAAATAATGGTATCAAAATTTAGAATGCAAGTTTTTTTTATTTTTGCGAAATCTATCCTTTCCCAAGTTTTGCAATAAAAGAAACATCATAAATATTTCTGAATTTACAGTACATCAGTTACCTATTATGACTTTTAGAGTCAATGAATAGCAAAATAATCTATGAAAGTGCTTATGGGATAATCTTTAGACTTGTTGTTGAGAAAGGAAGGATATGGGATGTTTATTCTACTATATTACATGCTATATCTTTATTCTGAGTTTTTTAAAACAGCAATTCAAGTATAAACAGTTATGTACATGTCTAATTTGTTTTATTTTATGTCAGTTCTAATTCATCATTGATCTTATTTCCAATCTGCATATAGTACATTAAAATTATATTCATATACAGAATAAATAGACATTGAAAGACACAAATGGAAGGAAAGTCCAAAATCAGCAATCTCTGTACCTGAAAATAAATCACACAATATCTCAAGGAATGAATATCAAGCAATGAAGGAATACCAATGGCTTTTTCATTTTCTTTCAAAAATGTTACGAAAATCTTTTATGTAGCACTACATGAAAAATATAATCGATACATTAAGATAACTAAATACGTGTTGACTACTTGATTTTAACTGCCTAAGGTTGCAGTATTTTCCTCACAATCAATCATATTTCTCATAACTGGAAGATCACATGTTTAAATCTGCCACTAATTCCAATAAATTAAAAAACATTTGAAAGCCATTAGAACTCCCTCCTTAGTTGTGCTTGACTTCATACCTTCATATCCATAATAGCTAAACTCTTTAAGATCAGTTTTTTGACAACATGGGTTGCAAATTTCTTCCGGTACTTCCTGTATCTTGTTACATCAGCTATGGCCTGTAATAAATCTTGTGTCTGATATTTATGCCAAATTCTGGCAAATTTTCCTCTTTAGTAAAACACCTTTATTTTTAAGATGTTACTACTATGTAAAAGTTGCTTGCCAAAGTATGTATCTTAATTTCCATGTTCATCCAACAAATATGATGATTGTGCCTTGTAATTGTAATAATGTTTGTTATTTTCTGAAGAGTTTTCAAGGTAATAGAAAAAACTTGCATTTTACACCTATGTATTATGTTTAGTGATATCAGCCATGTTGTTTGGATCATTAGACACATTTATTCTAAACTTGATAACCAATGATGAATGTGTCAAAGCTTGGTTCCAATTGGCCCAGTAGTTTCAGAGGAGAAGATTTTTGTAAAAAGTTAACATACGATGACTATGTGTGCCAAGTGATGAGGACAGCTCACTTGACACTACTGGTCAGGTGAGCAAACAAGCGTAATTGACCTCTTTGCATAATTGCTTTAAATTAAGAAAGTATAACATTGTTTCTTTTATCTTTCGCATTACAGTAAATTATTCAACACTTGTAAAAAGTTTAACTCCCACTTCTTACCTCCACTGATTTGTAATAATAATGAAAACACCATTTTGGAAAAATCCAGATAAAACAAACTAGCAAAAAATCCATTCTCAATTTTAGCATGTACTTTCAGAATACATGAGACTGAAAATTATTACTGATGATCTTTTGTATATAAGTATCTATTGTTTTATTTGTTTATTTGTTTTGTTTTGTTATACATTAAATTCTAAAAAGTCATAAACAATTCCATCAACATTTACCATAAAATATTTCATTCTGCATCCATATTTTACATACTCACCATCACTTTGTTGACATATGTCAACAACTTATCATGGCTCATGTGTCATCAATCTGGTTTCCATGGTTACACCACAAGTAAACAGTAGCTGTTGTAAAATTTATCTATAGTGACATGTGTAAATGAAACAGAAGCACAGCTTTTTCTTGATTTCAAGTTCTTTCATCCTAATGAAATTTTGATATATTAAAAAATTGTCATGCAAAAATGCCCATATTATGGTTACTTTCCAAAACTGATTAAACTGCTTGTGTGGTGTTTTAATAAAAGACAATGTGCAAATTTGAAAAAACTCGTCACCTCCAATTAAAAACCTTTAGGGAGAAATGACACATTCCGTTTCTGGCCCCTTTAAATATGACAAAGTAAAAGCCAATTCCCTCTACAAATACCTTCTTTTTGTCAAATGTATATATTGTAAGGAAAAAAAAACACCCATTACCAATTTTCTTATAAAGCAAGATGTATGATAAAAGCCCTTATTTGGCCCATAAAATTGCAAAGCAATAAAACAAAGCAAAATTACTTAATTTACTTGAAACTGAGATATAAAGCTGTATAACTGTTACAATTGATTTTGCATAAAAGCAATAAGTCTAAAATGCATCAGTGTATTAATATTCAGCTGAGTAATTTAGACTTATATTGCTTCAAACCTTGACATATGTTCAAACATTTGAATAAAAATGAGCAAAACTATGGAAAACTTAGACAAAGAAAACTAAGAACATATGAAAAGGTATGTTTTTTGTTGATGAGGTATGGCCGAACAAGTGCTTAATTGTTGATCTACCAGCTTTGGTGTGCTGTAAAGCACTTGATTGGCCATACCCAATATAGCTGCATTTCTAGTACCTGCAAATAGACTAACAATTAGTATTCAGGAATGGTTGTTTTTCTCAAATGTCTTTTTTTTCTCTCACTTTTATCTACTCTGTAAAGATTTAGAATTCTGCCTTAAAGGAAGATGAAAAAGGGATTTTAAATATTTCATTTTACTACACAATCTAAGTTCATAACTACTCAATGTGTTTTTTGTTTGTTTTAACTTAGCTTTAAATTCATTTATAATATCCATAATTTATTCAAGATTTGTATTAGCTGAACTATTTGAGAGTGTATAAAGTACAATGAATGAAGTTTCCTGGTTTGTAAGATGGACCATGAACTCAGCTTTACCTTAACACTTATTACCTATTTCAATAAATACACATGTCATTGCCACCCTATCAAGTCATGGAAAGTGTAACAAAATGATGGCTGTAGAACTTATTTGACAAGCTATTTTTTATATTAATATTGCATAGCAAAGAATCCATGGTTCATCTAAAACATACTGCAAACTTCAATTGAATATACTAACACCTTACTGAAATAATTTAGCTTGAAAAGGCTCAAGGCATCTTAATTTGCCACAGTGAAAGTTGTAAAGTAAGGGATGTAAAAAGTGCATTGACTCGGCATTGGATTGTTTTTTAGAGGCCAACATTCTCAATTCTTAAACCCCTTTTTTCAAAGTTATTTCTTCCAATTTCCTTTTTTTATTGATACAGGAAGGTAATAATTTTTCAGAAGTTTTAATAAGCATAATAAATGTGTCTTTTATATATTTATTTATTTAAAAACTTCAACAATCAGATTTACACTGATTTGAGATTATATCCAACACTATTCTGGTATGTTTTGATATTTTAAAATGATAATTATTAATCTGTATCCACATATATAAATTATGACATTTTACAACGATTAATGAAAATATTACACTTGTAATATAACTTCTACTTTGTTTTATCTTTCAAATATTCTCCAGTTCATCACTTCTTTTAGTCCCTTTACATCTAATACTCAAATACTTCAATTTATCTAATTTCTTGGAAAAATTTGAAATAACTTACCATTTTCAAGTAAATTGTTTATAAAAAAAAATAAACTCACAAACATTAAGTTGGAAAAATTTGTGTACTTCTTGGGTAAGGCCATCAAAATATTGGACTTTTAAAGTGTACCTACCAATAAAATTTGGACAGAATTACTTCTCAAAATTATAGGATGAAATTTATGAGAATAAAACAACCATATCTGAACACCTGTATGTTACAAACCCTTAATGATCAACCCTACCTTTTTGGCCCATGCCTGACGCTTTTTATCAGGACCCATCAATTCTTCCTGAGATAATATCTGGGCACCAGTGCTGCCAATAAATTTTCCAGGTAGATTCTTTGAATTTGCCCATAAACTTGCCTAAATTTAAAGAAAGTAATTGATCAGAAATGTACATATTATTTAAATACCTTGTATATATCAATGCAATAAAAAGAAAAATTGATTGTTTTATGAACCATTATGAATTCTAAAATTGGGATATTGGCTATTTCATTATTCCCTTATATGAGGATGTGGATGGGGGTTTACAGAATAGAGAATAATGGGCAAAAAATATAAAGAATAGAGAAAAATGAACCAAAAAATAAAGAATAGGGAATAAAGAGGTGTTAAAATATAAAGAATAGAGAATAATGGGCAAATAGTATAAAGAATAAAGAAAAATGGCCTAAAAAATTAAAGAATACAGAAATGGACCCCCATCCAGACCCTCTTATATCTTGGTAACAAGCAACACAACAATACCCAAATAAGCATTTCTTTTTGTTATAATGTCTAAATCATGGCAAAATGTTTCTCCTGAAAAAGGTATATGTATTGTGATGGTCAAGAAGCCTATTAATAGATTTAATTGTCAAATGAGTCTTATTACTCCATTCAACCTATCACCCACAGTCTGTAGAATTGGATGTGGCAAAGATTTGTTGGTGCTACTGCCTCACCACTTTTCAAGTAAATACTTTTGAAATTCATTTAAAAAATGTAATGAAGTATCAACTTTCAAGATTTGGTAAAATTAGGTAATGCATACATTGAAATTCCTGCAATAACTATTTTTATTTTCAGATGTTTTCTTGCTTCCCCAAAAAATTATGAAAAGAAATGTCTAGACCTTCCTCAAAATTATGACCTTCTATGCTATCAGTCAAGTCATTATAATGCTGAATGAAAATTTTGTTGTTCAAACTTTCAAATTATCACAAGAAGACTTTTTAAAGCTCCCAGGGCGCTTATTAGGTTAACTAAAGTATTCTGTATTACCAGATTTCAGACTAAAAAAGACCACCCTTAAAATCTGCTGCGTTTGATGTTGCCTACCCATGCCTAGTAGGGTTGGGTTTGGTAGGTTGGGAATTTTTTTTTTTTTGGCCAACAACATAAGTTACATGTTTTAGACAAGAAAACAAAGCTAGAGCAGGAAAAAATCCAATAAAAAAAATTTGAAACGAATTGGTGTCATAAACATTTTTGTGTAGGCTACTTTTTAGGTGGGTAGGTAGGCAACATCAAACAGTTTAAATTTTATTTTTGGCCTAATGACATACATTATGTTGTGCTTTCTGCATTGCTGACATTGCAGCCAAATCTTTAGGATTTTCTGCTAACTTCCTGGCAGCCTTGATTCTTTCTGATATAATGGACCTTATGTCAACAGGGGTCTGAAAATACAAACAAAATATTAATAACCATAAACATGTGTCAATCATATCAAAAACATACACATTCAAGTTTGAAAGACTACAATATCTCCAACAAACCAAGGTAAGATTTCTATGACATAATGACCAACTTCACTTAAATTACATGTGAATTTTGATAAAAGCTACATGTACAGCAAAGTTGTCTCCTTGTCTGAAAAAGAACAATAAATGTTAAATTCAATATTTTTGTAGCTATATAGATATGTTAAAATGGAGCTGTGAACATTTAACAAATTAAAAAACCACTGAAATCTTAATTATTCAAGGTTTATTACATTAACTGTTGACAAGGAAATATGTCTTAATCCCAAGGGATTATGTTACTGCATAGAGAAGATTACTCCTGAAATTCTACCCTAAAATATCACTGAGAGATACAAAATTCATGGCCAATTTGTTAGTTACACCATCAGACCAAATTTTGTAACTAGGAATCTTGAGGTAATTCAGACAAATCTATTTCCAACTGGTTATGATTTTCTGAGTTCTCAAAATTTTCAAAAAAAGACAGAATTCATGTAATTTTATCTGGACCATATGTTAAAAATCACCTCTTGTACTTGTGTTTCAACAAAAACTTTATCCTCGTCTCTCACAGGCATCAACTTGACTTCTGTTGATACGGTTGGTACAACAGCAGTAACTGTTGTTGTAGTTGTTCCCCCTGATGGAGTGGTTGATGGCAAGGCAACAGCATTTGTAGTAACAGCAACCACAGAGGTTTTCACTGTTTCTGTTTTCTGGACTGGTACCCACTCTAACTCCTTTGTTCTGTGCACATTACCACTATCAACAGGGAATTGCAAGCGTAATGTTGCTTGCTGAGTTATCTTCTCCTGAGCATTAAGGATTGGTAACGGAACAGCATTCTGTCAAGAAATGAAGAAAATATACATTATAACATTTTTGAGTAAATGAGGAAATAGTTTGGAATTCCTAGAAGAGTTATTTCGCTTTATGTGTTGTTATTACCCTCTTATAAACAATGCTATTCTTATGTTGTGCTGTTATTGACACATGTGAGAGCCTCATGGGTAGTCAAGGTCGTTAAACACCCCTAAAAATAGTAGTAGTGCTGGTACCCTCATGTGTAGTCAAGGTCGTTAAACACCCCCTAGTAGTAGTAGTTGTGCTGTTTCACCACTATCCCAGGTTAAGAGGGGAGGGTTGAGCGCTAACAAACCTGTTTAACCCAGCCATATTCTTTATGTGCTTGTAACTAATCAGGAGCCTGTGATTCAGTGGTTGTCATTGATTCATGTCTGTCATATTAGTTTTTTCCTAAATTATTTTGTTATAAGTTAGCAAATATTTTTGGTTTGAATTGTTTCACATTCTTCATGTTGGGGCCTTTTATAGCTGACTATACAGTATGGGTTTTTCTCATTGTTGAAGGCCATACAGTGCCTCTAATTATCCAATTGCCAATTATACCACATCTCCTTATTTTTATATAACAACATTACAATGCTTCTTGTCCTAAATATGCATAAAAGATTTGCCGCTGGATATCAAACAAGCACATCCAATCAATAAATACAATGCTTTTACAACTGAACAATTTGAGTGTGGACTTTGTACATATAAGATCCATTTTATGTTAGATGAACCATGAAATTGTTATCAGCTGTTATAAATATAGAAATAACTAGGTCAAACATATTCTTCAGACATCTATTCTATTATATTTGTCCGGTATTGCAGAAACATCTATTTCATATGAATAGGAAAAATATTTGAAGTTTACACAATCTTTTTGGCTAGATTATTTTCCCTACAACTGATACAAATTTCCAGACATAAAAGTGACACAAGGGGTAAATACTATAAAAATAAATGTGGATAGTGTCCACATGTGGACACAGATGATGCCCCCACTTGCATATCATATAGTTATAAAGGGACATAACTGAAGAACAGTAAAAGTGACGCTACCCAAATTTGAACTTGATCTGAGTTTTGTGTGTAAGTCTCATAACATTTGGTTGAGGCTAACTTAAGTAGAGAACAGAAACTAAAAATTCAGCAATTTTTCTATTTATAAAGGGGCATAACTCAATAATGGTTAAAGTGACACTACCCAAATTCAACTTGATCTGTGTTTTATCAGTGGAAGTCAAAATTAAACATTGCATTGTATAAAGCATTGACTGTAGTTGATTCAACTATAACCATGGACAAAGGAAGATAACTCCAATTTTAAAAATAACTGGATATTTAGAAGAAAATAAAAATTTTGCAATTTTTTCCATTTATAAAGGGGGCATAACTCTAGAACGGTTAAAGTGACACCACCAAAATTCAAACTTGATCTGTGTTTTGTGGTAATAAGCATTGTGTATAAGTTTCATAACATTTGGGTGAGGCAAACTTAAGTTAGAGAACGGAAACTAAAAATTTTGCAATTTTTCCATTTATAAAGGGGCATATCTCTAGAACGGTTAAAGTGACGCCACCAAAATTCAAACTTGATCTGGGTTTTGTGATAATAAGCATTGTATATAAGTTTCATAACATTTGGTTGAGGCAAACTTAAGTTAGAGGACGGAAACTAAAAATTTTGCAATTTTTCCATTTATAAAGTGGCATAACTCTAGAACGGTTAAAGTGACGCCACCAAAATTCAAACTTGATCTGTGTTTTGTGGTAATAAGCCTTGTGTATAAGTTTCATAACATTTGGTTGAGGCAAACTCAAGTTAGAGAACGGAAACCAATTTTGGGACGTACGGACGGACGTACGTACGTATGTACAGACGGACAAGGGTAAAACTTAATGCCCCCACCGCTACGGCGGGGGCATAAAAACATAATCAAATACCCTGTCATCAAAACAGTTACTATGAAGGCTTTATTGGTTATCTGACAAAAATGCCCGCTTAGGTCTGACAAGAATGATTGCTTAGAACCATTGTTATTATAAATATCTATAATAAGTACCCTGATATTCAATGTAATTGATTTTTCATTGACTTTAAATGGATGGTGAATCAGCGAGTCTTCATCCTCATCACTTTTCTTCCCATCCTCATCAGATGATGAAGAACTAGTCAATCCAGCTGGTCGGTGTTTCAATTTTTCCTTAGATGCAATTCTTGCACAAAACTCTGTAAATAAAAAAAAATCATATATTTATGATTTTATGATAAAAATTGACACAAATGTTCTTGTCACTTAAAGGTCAAGAAAGCTGTTTAATCATAATTCTTAAAGGAAAATGCATGCAACTAATCAACAATATACCTCATCTGATACAACCCAGTCTGATAGGTTTGTTTACTGTGGATTCATTTTTTTTTCATAGGTATCAATATTCGTGGAATTAGGAAAATCATATTTTTGTGGCTATTTCGTGGTTTTGCAAAAAGCTGCATACACGTCAAAAGAAAATTCCTTCTTCATTGAACATTTAAACTCGTGGTTCACCTATACGCACGAAATCAACGAAAAATGGTATCCCACAAATAATAATGAATCCACAGTACCGCTTTTTAAAACATTTTGGTTGACTATATATATTAATATATATTGAATTCTTTTCTATGTATAATTTGAACGCTACATGTTTTTAACAGCAATTTTGATGAAGCAACATCATATATTTTGACCCCCTCAATATCAATAATTTATTTTTAAAATTGCAGTTGTCAATCTTAGATTTAGATTTTAGTCACAAATATTAGATTCTCTCCTCTGTTTAAGGTGTTGATTGAAAACACAAATGATTGACATAGGCTAATATAAAAAAAAAAATGAACATGTTGTCGTGCTAAGGATCCCCTCACTTGTAAAACAAAGTATCAGATAATAGGAAGTAGGTGTCTGACAGTTCCAAAAAGTACTGAAAAGATAACCAAATATGAAGTAATTCTATTCATTGGTTCCTGAGAAAAGTGTGACGAAAATATTTGTTGGACAAACAAATAGACATACAACAGAAAACAACCAAGCTTCTGACCTAACCCATTAATCAAAGAGCTGATTGCTCTGAGGCGGAAGAAGATGCATAAAAGGTAACTTGAATTACCATAAGAGCAGCCCCACCAAACCAGTCTGCTTTGTCCCATTATTGCTTTTGACGTATTTTTTTCTTCAAAAAATAGTTACTCATAAATCAACTAACACTCACTAAACTTAACATAAAAATCTGCAAATACTGTTGATTCAAATTAATTTTTCTATAACTAGATTCCATACATTCGTCTCAGAAAGGTCAACTTGATGCAATGCAAATTCGCCAAGCAATTATAACATTAATTGATTTGGTTTCACTTAAAGGTTTTCTGTCAAAGGCAGATAGTTGACCTTAAAAAAACTGGCTACCAAAATTTTAGTCAAGCTTGCTAAAACTAGGGTTTTCATTATAAACAGATATTGAAAAATTCTAAGTATATCCAATGCAGATATGTGTCAGGCCAAGAATTGGGTTTTGGGCACTTATCAGCATTTCAAACTGGTTCCATATTCGAGCGTCGATAATGGGTGTACCTGAATGACGAATAACAGTGAAGAGCTGTACTATTTAGTTGTTAAGATCCCGTTTTTGGTCACTTATAAAACTTTGAATCGTAAGGGAATAAAGACAATCATTGGGACATTTCGACAATGACCGACGGTGCATCGTTTGATGTGTAACACACCGGCAGATTCATGTGTGCGCTTGACTCTTCATTATCACCATAACATACGTAAATATTCTAACTTTCGTATTAAAAAACACATGTTGTCTAAAACTGGAATATGACTTGATTGCATTGAAGATCTAAATGCAGACGGAACAACCCAATCCGTGTATTTTTTCAAGCATCATTGATTTGAAGTTGTACTCTCCACGAAGATACTTGACTTTAACTCAAGATGGATTGAATGAATATATGCAATTCTGTTTATCAATATTTTGAAACTTTCATACACACAAATTGTCAATTACATTTCCCATTAGTGCACATGTGCAGAAATGTAACCAACATGGTTTAGGTTTACCCGAATAATCCAGTTGTTTTATTCCGATAAATCCAATCATTAATCTACTAAAGACAATTATTACTACAATCAGAGAATTATTATCATGACCTATTAATGCTCCAAGACAAGCCATCAACTTTTAATTATTGTTTTTCATGTGTTTTCATGAATTTCGAGAATTTATACCATATAAATATCTGAATAAGTTTATTAAAATTGAATACCCTCAATATTAATATCTTTTAATAAATGAAAGGACGTATAAAACGTCATTGATAAAAGTAAGTAGAAGGAACTTAGGGCGAACGTACTCTATGGGCGAAAGAACTTAGGACGAACAGACCAAGGGTGAACATTTAAAAAGGGCGAACCGACCCGATACCAAATTCACACATGCGTACTACAATAATCTACATTAAAAACATCAGGTTACAAGTAAACAAATAACGTTCATGAAAGATGGGATGAAATTTAATAATTTACATAAATAAAAGGGTATATATTTTTACATTAAAACATGAGAAACTATAACACTTACGATAGTGATTGTTTTTCAAGCCTAACTTCTAAATTAAATGATGCAGATGCTTAATCCTGTGTAAAAATCGGTGTCACGAAATGGCACGAAAGTAATGAAATTGTAATACACAGAAAGGGATACGGCATACAGCCTGGTAACGGTTCAATGATTTTACAGCCAGCAGTAAAGGCTTTCAGAAGACTTGAAGTCTTCTTCCACCAAAAATTAAAAGTAAGTTTGTCAGTCTAGTACAAAATAACCTAGAATAATTGAGGGCTCAACCAATAATATAAATCTCACCTGTCAACTCATCAATAGATTTGCCACCTGCCTTAATTGAAGCAAAATCTACGCCAGGTACTGTTGAGCCAGCTTTGGCCATCGCTAAGGCATTTTTCCTGGAAAAGCAATATATATATACAGTGACAACTCTTATAGGTCACCCTTTCAATCATAATTGAACACTCTCAGCTTGCTGTAGTATAAAAGTAAACTGAATATATTTGAAAGGTGGTTGAAATCTTTTCAATATTTACCAGTACTTGCTTAATTTTGAATTTAATTTTGTGTTATGTTTTACAATCAGAAAACTTTAAATATCTTTATGGGACAAATTAGTGTTTATGGAATACATTTTTAGCATAAGAAGAAGAAAATAAATATACAGGAATAAAAATCCATTAAATATCTTTATTGTTTGGATCAAACTTCTAGCATGCGATCAGCAAAATATGAATGTTGACTTACATTGCAATTTCCCGAAGTTTTGCTTTATCAATCTTTAACCGTAGATCTTCATTACTTTTTGATTTATCTCCCTTTCTTTCTTTTGATCGACTTCTTGATCTCCATTTTCCATACCGTCTTTCAGAATCTCTTTTCTCATTTTCTCTGTCTCGACTTCTATGCCTTTCTCTATCCCTATGACTGTCATAATCTTTATCATGCTTATCCCTGTCATGGTGACGATCATGTTTATGTCTATCATAATCACGATCTTTTTCATAATCATGTTTTCTATCTGTTTCTCGTTCCCTACATTGCAATGAAAATAACAATTTCAATTTCATAAATTTTGAACAAAGGAACAAACATTTCTAAAGGCTAAAAATCAGGTGCATGTTAATGTTTATCTTGTACAAAGATTTATTAGTGTCATGTTTATTTTTTTTTAAATTCTAGCAACTGAGTGTAATATTGATCTTTAACCAAGAGTTTATCTTCAACCAAGAAATATAATGGTTATTTTGATCTTTTACCAAGATCTATAAGGGTAAAGATTATTTTTTTACCTAGATCTATGAGTGTAATGGTTATCTTTTACCAAGATCTATCTATGTAATTTAAATTATTTATCCTTTACCATCTCTTTTATCCACAAAAAATATCATGTGGAGTCCAAACCCCTTCCCCCATTAAATTTTTTCATAGCCATTACATGAAGGCTGATCTTTTTCTGTAAAATTCAACTTTACCTCGATCTTTCCCTTTCATGTTTATGTTTATTGGATCGCCATACTCCATGACTTGGAGAAAATGATCTGCTTCTTTCTTTCTTTTTCCTGTCTTTAGATCTACTCCTATCTCGCCACACTCCATGTCCTGGTGAGAATGACCTGCTTCTTGCCCTTCTTGTTGTCTCCTTTGATGGACTTTGAGACTTTTTGTGCTTTTTTGGTGACTTTGATCTTATAAAAAAAGAAAAGAAATAAATGTGGATAGTGTCCACATGTGGACACAGATGATGCCCTCGCTTGCATATTATATAGTTATAAAGGGACATAACTGAAGAACGGTAAAAGTGACGCTACCCAAATTTAAACTTGATCTGAGTTTTGTGGTAATAAGCATTGTGTGTAAGTCTCATAACATTTGGTTGAGGCTAACTTAAGTAGAGAACAGAAACTTAAAATTCCGCAATTTTTCTATTTGTAAACACGCATAACTTTAGAACGGTTGTGTATAAGTCAAAATTAAACATTGCATTGTATAAAGCTTTGAATGTAGTTGATTCAATTATAATCATAGACAAAGGAAGATAACTCCAATTTTAATAAAAATTACTTGATATTTATAGAAGAAAATAAAAATTTTGCAATTTTTCCATTTATAAAGAGGCATAACTCTAGAACAGTTAAAGTGACGCCACCAAAATTCAATCTTGATCTGTGTTTTGTGGTAATAGGCATTGTGTATAAGTTTCATAACATTGGGTTGAGGCAAACAAAAAGTTAGAGAACGGAAACAAAAAATTTGTACTTGATCTTAATTTTGTGGTAATGAATATTGTGTATAGGTTTCATAATGTTTGGTTGGTGCAAACTTAAGTTACAGAATGGAAATTTTGCAATCTTTCGAGTTATAAAGGGGCATAACTCAATAATGGTTAAAGTGACACTACCCAAATTCAACTTGATCTGTGTTTTATCAGTGGAAGTCAAAATTAAACATTGCATTGTATAAAGCTTTGAATGTAGTTGATTCAATTATAATCATGGACAAAGGAAGATAAGTGACGCCACCTAAATTCAATCTTGATCTGTGTTTTGTGGTAATAGGCATTGTGTATAAGTTTCATAACATTGGGTTGAGGCAAACTAAAGTTAGAGAACGGAAATGAAAAATTCAGCAATTTTTCCATTTGTAATGGGGCATAACTCTAGAATGGTTAAAGTGACGCCACAAAAATTCAAACTTGATCTGTGTTTTGTGGTAATAAGCATTGTGTATAAGCTTCATAACATTTGGTTGATGCAAACTAAAATTAGAGAATGGAAACGAAAAATTCAGCAATTTTTCCATATGTAAAGGGGCATAACTCTAGAACGGTAAAAGAGACGCCACCAAAATTCAAACTTGATCTGTGTTTTGTCGTAATAAGCATTGTGTATAAGTTTCATAACATTTGGTTGAGGCAAACTAAAGTTAGAGAATAATATCCAGTTTTTTCTACATGTACATAGAAATAAGAGACAATAGCTTCTAAGAGAAGGAGCAAAAGCCTGTCATACATAAAAAAATATTTCATTTCCTGAGATTGATCTGATGCTAACTTGACATTTAGGACAAATATTCTTCAGACCAGGGCTCTCAATCATGAAACCTTATTCAGTACTAAGAGAACAAAAAAAGTTCTCGAAACACCAAATCCATATTTTGATTGGTTGAATTCTGAGTACTCGAAATTTTTATGTCACTAACTGAGCTGTTGATCTAATGTCTGCAAAACAAATTCATATAAACTGTTTGTTGAAAATTGCAAGTTTTGCAAAAATTTTCATAATTTATCATTAAAAGCCTTTAGATTAATGGTATCACTATTCTTGGCCTATGTTAAATTTATTTAAAACAATATATCTGGACTGCAGGTGATTTGTATTTGACATTCAGTGTGGGTGCTTGTTCACTGCTGAAGACAGTATGTTTCCCAAAATTTCAAAATGCTATATTTTTCTAAAAAATCCACCAAATTTAAACATCTTTGCATTTGTATTCTTTATGATAGCATACCTTGATGTAGATCTTTGAGAGGAATGTTTCCGTTTACTTTTACTTTCAGTGAGCTCTTTGTCTTTCTCTTTGGAAATTTTGTGTTTCTTCTTCTTCTTTTTATGTTTCTTTTTCTTTTTCTTCTTCTTGGATTTGTCTTTTGTTTCCTTATCTGAATCACTGAGCGATCCTGTTTCAGAAATATCAGCATCATCATCTTCTACATCTCCCTTTTCATCACTGTCTGAATCTGATGAAGAACCATGACCAGAGGATATTACCTCCCCTACAAAAAGATATCATAAATAAAATGCTTCGCTGAGCGCAGCTGGATACGACTGCAGAGGTCCAACCCTGAACAGTTGGGGAAAAATGGACACAATATTCACGCTTGATACAGGTCTGAATTTGGATTGTAATTAAATATTTGACACATAATAGGTTTCTGACACCGAATAACTGTAGTCAAAGAACTTAGAATTGGTTATATGATTTGAATTTATATCAAATTTTTTGCTTTTGTGCAATACACTATGCTGTTGCGAATTGACCCCCCCTCCCCCCCCCAAAAAAAAAATTACCCCCCCCTTTTTTTTGCTTTTGTGAAATACACTATGCTGTTGCATTTTGAAAAAAAAATTAACCCCCCCCCCCCCCTTTTTTGCAAAAAAAATAATATTTGAAGAAATTTTCTTTCTAATTTCTGAAATCTGAAATAAAAAAAAAATTGCCTCCCACAAGTTCTTTTTTCCCCCTCCCAAAATTTTTTTTCACCTCCCACCCAACCTTTTTCCAAAAAAAAAAAATTCTTTCCCTCAAGATAAGGTCATAATCTCAATTAAAATTTTCAACCGAGTTTGCAACCATAATTACCAATTTAAATACATCATAAAAGTCTTAAAAATAAAATAGAAAATGACATACATAATCATTGCTAAAATTAATATTCCTTTAATAGTATTTTCTAAGAATAAATTGACAGCTATTCACCTCAAGACAATACAAAATTTCTTTATACATAATTTAAAATCAGTGTAAGGGAGGTAATCCAAACATACACAACATTGTACTTTAAATGTGTTTGGATTACCTCCCTTACACTGCTTTTAAAGCTTCCATTAACCAGGTAACCTTTGTTTTCCCCCTTTTTTGCCCCTAATTCCTAAACAGTTTGAGCCATAACCCCCCAAAGTCAATCCTAACCATCCCTTTGTGGTATGGAAACTTGTGGTATAATTTCAGAGAGATCCATACACCGTTCCACAAGTTATTGTCTGGAAACTAGAAAAATGCTTATTTGGGCCCTTTTTTGGCCCCGAATTCCTAAACTGTTAGGACCATAACTCCCAAAATCAATCCCACTCTTCTTTTTGTGGTTATAAACCTTGCAGTGTTCTCCCCAGGCCCTTAAAGGACCGCGGGCCCGCGATGTATAATTTTTTACCGTGGTGGTACTGTTCTTACCGCGATGTATAATTTTTCTCCGTGGTGCTAAAATTTTCAGTTAAAAAATCGTAAATCGGTAAAGCTTTAAACGACTTGTTTAATCTTTTCCGTGCGGTATAAAACTCCAGGTGAAATTTGACCAGTTCAAACCAGTTCAACACGGATTGTTTACACCACGTGATCGATTTACCTTTATGAGGTTAACCTTTGTTGATTGGATTTAATCGATGTAATTAACACTTATTACATGATTCTTTTGTGTTTTAATTTAGAGATCATAACTTTATGATCAAAGATAACTATCTAAAGGCTTCACTCACCACCTGACAAGTCGGCAAATACTTTGTACACAAACCGTGTTGACCCGATTGTTGTACATACGACGGTACATATTTTGTACATTATAAAGTTAGCTCAATACTTATATTATAGTTTTATATGTCTCTGATTAAACCATGGCCAAAATTATCTTTAATTATGACATAGTTATTGCATGATATTCCGGTTTCAAACTGTCAACAAGTAATTCAAAGGGGAAGGATCACATGACCCAGTTAGTTCACGTAGAATATTCAAGATTATTTACAATTAACTGCAATCTATTCTATAAATAAAATGCATGACTGTACCTTCAAACTGGATATCTATATCCATATGATCATTAATGAATAACAGAAGTGATCTTGCAATTTTAATCCATAAGCACATGTTAAATCTATTTATATCTACTTCCTGTCATTTAGGCGGGAAAATGTTGTTGACAGTGAATATGTTACTTATAGATCTATAGACCTAAGATAAATTTATAGATTTAGGAATTTTTTTTAAATGGATCATGACAAATAAAGATTTAGATTTCAGTACAGTATTAAGTCTGTATATATGTTTGATTATCACCAATGACAAGAAAGGTTAATATTTACATGTACATGAAATCTATGGCAAAATGTTTTAAAATTTATGAAAAATTTAAGATAGAAACTGGTTCAAATTATAACACAATTTTGTTCTTGTTAATTTTATATCTCCTGGACAGGAATCCTTTCACATACAACAACTTTCTTTCTAGAAACTAGAAAGTTTTTTTAAATTGAACATTTTTGTTCTCTTTTGAATCTGGGAACAGTATATCTAATAATATATATGTTCCTGTTTGAATGATATTTTATTTTTATTGATCATGGATTTTATAAAAGATTTAATTACTTTAAATTTAGATGAATATCATGTAATGAATCATGTTTTATTTATTTTTAAAAAATATTAAAAGTATACAAACTGTTTATTGATCTTTTTAACCAATAATATTCTGACATACATGTAACACAGTACCACAGAATTAAAACAAGAGACATAAAAACTGCAGTAACTAGAAATATAGCGACGCCACGCGACACAACTGATTGTATGAATCATTTCACCAAGCTGTTCACACGCGTTACCCTGGTGCTATCCAAAAATCCTGGGGAGAACACTGCCTTGTGTTTAAATTTCATAGATTTCTATTTGCTTAAACTAAAGTTATTGTCCGGAAACCAAATGTCTTCAGACGAGGACGACGTGATACCAATATACGATCGCCAAATTTTTTGCAGTCGTATAAAAATGTCATAATAAATCATGTTTCCTTTCATAAAAAAAAAGATATCATGGCAAAAAACGGAAAAAAAAACAGCAAAAAGACAAACTGTGAAACAACAGTCTACAAAACATTGCATAGAAAATTAAAGTCTAAGCAACACCAACCCCACCAAAAACCTGGGATGATCTAAGAATTCTACTTCAGTCAATGGAATTGAAATGATGTGTAAGCTTTGCTCTGAGTTGAGGTCCTCACTGTGACTTTGAGACAAGGAAAAGAAAAAAATTGTTGTTCCTCTACTCTGTTTTGCAAACCATAATAGGGATTTTTCTTTGCCTGACAATAATTTTTTGTGGAAAAGTGTTGATTGTTGCAAGCTGACACCTACTATCAATGTACAAACACAGTAATATAACTTAGAATTCTGTCTTACTGGCGTTGGCCGATCGTCCGAAACAGGACCATGGTTGGACTTTACAGGTTTAAACACTCTAATGACTTATCTGTAACAAGAGTGCACACGCTGAAATGTCTCGCCTTCTTTACTAATCATTGATATTATTTTGATAGTCCTAAATATAAAGCTTTATTACAACTGTCACATAAACTTAACATTAACCAAGTAAACTAAACATTGACCAACGAACCATGAAAATGAGGTCAAGGTCAGATGAACCATGCTAGGCAGGCATGTACAGCTAACAATTCTTCCATACAACAAATATAGTTGACCTATTGCTTATAGTTTAAGAAAAACAGACGAAAACACAAAAACTTAACACTGAGCAATGAACCTTGAAAATGAGGTCAAGGTCAAATAAACCCTGCGTGACTGACATATAGATCATAAAATATTTCCATACACCAAATATAGTTGAACTATTGCATATAGTATTAGAAAAAAAGACCAAAACTCAAAAACTTAACTTTGACCACTGAACCATGAAAATGAGGTCAAGGTAAGATGACACCTGCCAGCTAGACATGTACACCTTACAATCATTCCATACACCAAATATAGCTGACCTATTGCATGCAGTATTAGAAAGAAAGACCAAAACTCAAAAACTTAACTTTGACCACTGAACCATGAAAATGAGGTCAAGGTCAGATGACACCTGCCAGCTAGACATGTACACCTTACAATCATTCCATACACCAAATATAGTAGACCTATTGCATACAGTATAAGAAAAACAGACCAAAACACAAAAACTTAACTATAACCACTGAACCATGAAAATGAGGTCAAGGTTAGATGACACCTGCCAGTTGGACATGTACACCTTACAGTCCTTCCATACACCGAATATACTAGACCTATTGCTTATAGTATCTGAGATATGGACTTGACCACGAAAACTTAACCTTGTTCACTGATCCATGAAATGAGGTCGAGGTCAAGTGAAAACTGTCTGACGGGCATGAGGACCTTGCAAGGTACGCACATACCAAATATAGTTATCCTATTACTTATAATAAGAGAGAATTTAACATTACAAAAAATCTGAACTTTTTTTTCAAGTAGTCACTGAACCATGAAAATGAGGTCAAGGACATTGGACATGTGACTGACGGAAACTTCGTAACATGAGGCATCCATATACAAAGTATGAAGCATCCAGGTCTTCCATCTTCTAAAATATAAAGCTTTTAAGAAGTTAGCTAACGCCGCCGCCGCCGCCGCCGGATCGCTATCCCTATGTCGAGCTTTCTGCAACAAAAGTCGCAGGCTCGACAAAAACCAGTTTAGATACATGAAATTTTTTTTTAAATTTGCATATTTTACTGTTAAAAAAAAAAGTAAGGTTTAGAATTTACCTTCTTCCAGGTTTTTCTTTGGTACAGCCAGTGTATCATCTTGTTTAGCTCCTGATGATATTAACTCAGCACTAGTTTGACTAATTTTAAATGCAAGCTGAAATTTGCCTGGCTTTTTACTTTCAAATGGAACACCTTTTCCAGGTTCCAACGAAGCACCCTCTTCTTTTTTTACTGAAGTCTCTTTTATCACTGAACCTTCTACCTGATCAAACAATGAATTTTTTTCCTGGGATAAATCTTTAGCAGGCAGTTTTATAATATGATTCTGAACTTTTTCATTGTTTTGAATATCAGTTTTAGGAACATCCTCAGTTTTAACTTGTTTGACGGCAGAAGAAATTGAAAATTTACTTGATTCTAAAATTGACAATTTCTTTTCATCTGAGGGTTTTTTGTCCAATGTTTTACTTGATTCTGTATAAGGCAATTTGTCAGGCAAATTTGTCTGAACTGATGTCACTGATGATTTCACTTCACAAGCTAGACTGTCAGACTTGCTAGACTTTTTGTCATGAGATCTTTTAGAATGAGCACTTTTTTTAACAGGTGATGGAGTATTTTGGTTAATACTATATAACTCGTCATCTAACAGTCTATTCATTTCATCAACTGAGTTTGCTACTTCATTTTCACTGTCTTTTTTCTCTGCTGCTTGTTTATATGCTGATTCAATTTCATTCATTTTTGTTGCTAAGAAATCTTTAAATAAATCATCAACAATAGTCTGTGACAAGTCACCATCTTTAGAATCACTCTGAACTTCTTTCAACATGGCTGCCTTTATGGCAGATGCATGCTGGGAAAGAACTTCCTGAGTTATCATTTGATGGCTTTTCTTTTTATCTTTTGATTTTTCTTTGTGTTTATGTTTGTGTTTATGCTTCTCTTTCTTGTGTTTCTTCTTTTCTTTGTGTGAACTTTTGGCACCATTTTCTTCCGTGTCACCAGAAACTGTACTAACAGACCTCTCCCCACTTGTAGATGATGTAATGACTAGTTTTGGTTCACTATCTCTCGGCAGGGGAATGGTACTTGTAGGTGGTAAAGGAATAGAGTTTAAATTGTCCATTTTTGGATACTGGAAGATCACCAGCACATTTTAATCTGAAAATGAAATTGATAGTTTATGTAACAATTATTTTAAAGACAAATTAGTCATAAAAATTCTTTCTTTTAAATGTTAACTACAGTTTAAACATGTTTCTATGAAAGATTTTAAGGCACAATATTGTTTAAACAGGGCCCCCGTTAGCTTCAACTGGTTTGTGACATCATGAAAAAGTTGTATAATTTCAGAACTTATCCGTATTGGAATAACTAACAATAAGGTCTATTGTCTATTTAGATGGTCAGACTTGTCTTCATTACTTATAGACAGATCCAAATTGTCTTATTTGTAGAGTAGACAGTCATTTTATCATTTTTTAAATAGTCCAACCTTTCATTTAATACTAAATGACTGAGTTGACATTATTGAGCATGCATACAAGAGCGGACATGAAAATTTTTGCAGAGAGAATCCTTCAACATCATTGTAATTGTTTTGACAAATTGGTTTTAAGCCACACCAATTTAATGTCTAGTTCTTCGGTCAAAAGTTCCAAAAAATATGGACGAGCGAGCAAAATTTTTTGTTTTTATTTTTTCTTGAAAATGAGTTTTTAAGAGGCGAGTGCTCTACAAGTGAAGCAAGCGGTATATTTTTTTTTTTTCAAATTGTGCGATTTAGAAGTTGTACAATTTATGTACATGTTATAACTGAGTTACTTCATAGAAAATGAGGAGAAACAGATGCTCTAACATGTCTAATGCATATAATTTGATTTATTAGTGCCTGTACCATACCAGATTTTCTCACTGTGGTTTAGTTAAATTTGGTTATTTTCTTCAATATAAAAATATGGAGATGTGGTACAAAGTAAGCTTTGTCTGTGTGAATTTTCTTTTAAATCCATATATATGTATATATATATTTAGGAAGAATAGCAGATGCAGTTTTACAAGACGAATTATGTTAGTTAGGTAAATGAAACATGTTGAATAAAATTAAAATATGTGTATGTATCCAAAAATGCACCTGAAAGATATTTTGATCATGTTGATAGTTGTTTTCATTTTATGGTTATGATTGTTTATTGGCTGCTTGACATCCAGTTGGAACTATTTATCCATATTTAGGATCAAAATAATGAGTGAGGTGAATATTGCTTGCTTTGAACTAAAACAACATCCTGAATAAGATAGTTATATTGCTATACATGTAGATTCCAATGTATTAAAATATTCCCTTAAAATACCTGTCGCTCCATTCATATGCATTATTCTGACTGAGCAAAATACTCTTTCCTTTTGCTTCTAAAAGCTGCAATGCATTTAAAACTCTTGAGCTTGACTAGAAGTGGTTGAACCAATTACACACCTCTTATTATTATGAGCATGCCAATCACAATACCACCACCTTGGTCTCGTTGGAACTCTTTAAATTCCCCCTAACAAAAGAGTTCTGCAAAAGACTAACATGGGGATATGGGGTTTCATCTAACAAAAGATTTTTAATTTTTGCCTCCTAGAACAGGTCTTCAAAGGTAAAACGAGAAGCATTTCAGATAGCTGTGTTCAATAACTACTTGTCCACGGCAATGAGCTGACACAACTGCATGTTGGCATCCCAATTTTTTTACCTTTTAGGCCTATATACAAATCGATTTATCATACGTACGTTTGAAACGATCAGAGCAATATATGCAATAGAAAAGCGTCTATGTGAAAAAAAAAATTCATATTTTGAGGATGCGCAAATCATGTGAGTGGGTGTTTTCATATGTTTTATTGAATTGTATTTATTTATGGTTACAGGAAGGTTTACTTTCTGGTAATAAATTCTGTCACGGCCATGACGCAGAACTTACAGTGTGCTAAATGTCCTCCTTTACCCATAAGGCGTAACTCATAATACATACATTGACAGTCAGCGACTAATTAAGTAATTTCACTATAAATCGTAAAGAAAAAATAATTGTAAGTCATGAAAATTTAAGTATGAACGCGTTTCTTTTAAAAAGTTGCAAAAATATGAACAAGCATTAACACTTTGTTCGTGAGAAAAATAAAAGGTTACATTCGTGTTGTAGAGGGTCGAGACTCTCCTTTCCTAAGCCGAGTAATTCGTTCAAATGCTGTTATTCGGTTTCGCCGTGTGTTATACTTACAGCGTTGTCTGGGTTATATGCTAAGGAATGGTGTGCTTAATGTGATTCAAAATGTCATTCTAACAGTTAAAAGTTAATGATACAAAGTGAAAAGTCTTTGAAAATAAAATATTTTTTCATGGCCGATGCGAAAAGGGAGATAATGAACAGAGGGATGTCTTATTCCCGCTATTCGGCCTAATTAATTAGCCACTACAACGTACCTTTAAATAATATAGTCAAATGTCAAAAGGGTTTCACACATCGGAAATTATAATATACATTTCATATCAAAACACATAAACAATGTAGTGTAAATGAAGTTTTACCTTTTACCATTAACTATAGAAATATATGTAGTTTCTTGCAACAATTTAAAATACTTGTATGAATTATACTTTTTAAGAATTCACTGTTTAAAAATAAATCAAAATAATCTGCTAAAAAATATTTATAGTTATGTAGCATGTGCAGAGGCAGATTTAGGGTTTGGGGGGTGACCCCTCGTTTGTGAAAATTTGGTTGATTATTGAGGGAATCACTGAAGCATGACTGGAGCGGGCCCTCTCTTATGAAAATTTCTGGATCCGCCACTGATGTGTAGGAACAAATTTCAAATGATTTCTTCGGAATTACACGTCATTAGAATATTTCATAATAACCATGAAAAAACTGCAAATCCTATGAGTTTTAGAGTAAAAGTTTCATTCAAACAGGACCTGAAATAAGTTTTAAACAATGGAAAAACCATGCTTTTGTAAGAAACATATAGCGTAAGAGGTGTGAAACACATTTAACCTTTGACTGTATACATAAATATGAACAGATAAATATATTATGGTATTATAAAAAGTCTCTGATATGAAATCATGCTTTACTTTATAAATATTTTTGAACGACTTGAAATATAATAGTTATACTACTGAATGCCTTTTGACATTTTCTTGGGTGTTATTTCTGTTGTTGGAGTGGTCTCACTGACTCGTACCTCGAATCTATGGATCTATTTTATTATATTCATGAGTACGAGTTAGGACTTATTATTAATCCCAGCTCGTACTCGTGATTATAATAAAAGAAATAAAAAAGATAGTAGCACAATTTATAAACTTTTTACTTTATAAATAATATAACCATACAATTCTGAGTGTGAAATGTAATGTTTAAATGATATATGTATGCCTGTTTGAATAACCTTTCACTGAGTAACGAAAACATTACATTCAGTGAAATCTGAAACGTCGCTATAAGCATTTATATATCAAACAAACTGAGAAATATACATTTAATAGAAAAAGACAACGGAACACCACCGGTCAATACAGCAAAGATAAGGACACTTGACAATAGGAAAAGATAAACATACCTTCTGTCGCTTAATATGAAGATATAACAGTGAGAATGTTTTGTTATCTAAAGGTATGAAAATAGACAGGGACCTGATGTATATATCTTTAAATGAATTGTAAAAATTGCACTAAACATATATTCGAAATAACATGAAATGTATGTCACACAGAAATGTACTTGGTATGTAAGATTTGAAAAATTCTAAGTAGGAAACAAAAGAGAGGTTGTAAAATATTAAGGAAAAAATAACGCCTAGTTTCAAATATTTAATGCATATACAGGACTTCAACAAATTAACAATAAATCTCATACATATGTTCTGCCATGTCAATCGACTGAGAGGAAGAGCGGACAATTTGACTACCACTGGAAAAAAGTTGTTAGATTTGAATATTAATTTTGCCATGTAACAGAAAACACCGAAAGACATTTCACAAAACAACAATTACTTCCACATCCGAATTCTCTCGAAAATACTAAAATGGAACTGGGAGTCGTCCCGAAAATCATACATTTCTAATATCAAACTCCAAAATGGACACCAATCACGCACTACTTATGTTTGATTTATTAAGATTGAGTTGAGGTGAAGTTGACAAATTTCATTTAAATAGTTTTTTTAAAATCTGCAATTTTACATAAAATATTCACCGAAATGGCTGCAGATTATGATACAACCTCCAGCAAAAGACATGAGTCTATACAATATTTCAAGTTCTTAATAGCCTAGGGTATAAAAAAAGTTGGAATGATTTAATCATAAAATATCAAAGATCTGATATCAACACTAAATTCTTCGAAAAACAACAATAACCCATTTAGAGATGACATAAGACAACTATAGACGAAGTTTCAGACCTTGGACAAGCACATTGCAATCAAGCACATGAAAATAAAACAAATGGAAATCAAGCACATAGAAATCAAGCACATGGCATTCAAGCACATGAAAATCAAGCATATGGATATCAAGCACATGGAAATCAAGCACTTGGAAATCAAGCACATGGAAATCAAGCACATGACAATCAAGCACATGTAAATCAAGCACATGGCATTCAAGCACATGGATATCAAGCACATGGAAATCACACATGGATATCAAGCACATGGAAATCAAGCACCTGGAAATCAAGCACATGACAATCAAGCACATGGAAATCAAGCACATGTAAATCAAGCACATGGATATCAAGCACTTGGAAATCAAGCACATGGCAATCAAGCACCTGGAAATCAAGCACATGGCAGTCAAGCACATGGAAATCACGCACATGGCAATCAAGCACATGGAAATCAAGCACATGGAAATCTTTTTTTTTGCCATGACATTGTCTGTTTGTTTTCGACTTATATGTTTGAATATTCCTTTGATATCTTTTGCCTCTCTTTTTATGTTGGATCTTAACGTAATGGTAATCGGGTCGACTGTCCTTTGAAAACATTCCAGTGAAAACAGAGGAAAAAACCCTCAAAACTGAATCAAAACAGCTTCGCCACAAACCATGCTAAGTTACCAGTGCCATGTTGAGGTATATTCAAATGTGTTTAATGAATTAGGTGGACGATTCTGGACATAAGGATAGGAAGTAAGTGCACTAAGTACATAAGTCCCTGTGTTAGGATACAAATCAAAATTAGGTAAAAACAATAAAATTAAGAAAACCAATCCTGGAGGAACAAATGTTATCATATATTAGATTTCAAAGTGTCGTACTAAAAAAACGTAAACATATAAACGTAACTTGTACTTGTTATGAGCGTATGTAGTGATGTCATGAAATCAAAGTTCCTTCATAATATAATTTCCAAAATAGAAGAAATAAATTGTAATATTATTTCCACTGGAACAAGTATTACAATATTTGTTCGTAACGGAATAAATGGTACAGAGTATTTGTTCCAACGGGAACAGATATTATGTCATTGTTTATAACAAATTTTCCAGGGGAACATTTGTTATGCGGAACACATATGCGTCGACAGTGATACGATGAGGAACCATATCATTTTAAGGAACAAATTACCAGCTTTGTTATGTGCGTTCAGTGACACGTTAAGGAACCAGTTCCTTTTGAGATGTCTCCATCGTGGTCCGCGCTAACCAATGCAGGATTGTTCAGTAAAAACAATTAATTTTAAAATGGAAAACATTGCATTATACACACTATATACGAACATTGTCGGAAAATATAAAATTTATTTCACGGTACTCGAAACGAAACAGCTCACCAAAGGCTCACTTATCCTCCTGTTTCTAATGCTTATACAAATAAATTAATATATTTTCCGGCGAAACGACGAAAAGACAAACAAAAACTCACAGAAAACTAAAGATTAAGTAACACGAGCAGAACAAAATCATTTCACACCTCTCTGAGTTCAACTTCATGAAAACATTGTATATCCTGAATTATACAAGTATCAACTTTCTACATGCCAATTTTCAACCAATGTTTAAAGTCTTGTAGTGACACATTATGTTCGAGATTTCCCCTACCACTAAAAATCTTCATTAGAATACTATTGAGCACAACTACCCTAAAATTGTGTTGCAAGTACTTGCACGAGTAAATTTGGGCTCAAAACGAATTAATTTGTTAGTTAAAGTAAACAACAACATTAAAGTACTTTTTATTTGCCAGAGTAGGGCTACTTTCACATTGTTCTAATTTGGAGTAGGTGAATTTGTGGTCTGACATCTGCAGACGGATAGACATACGGAAAATTTGTTTGGAAGACTTTTTATCACTACAGACTATAATGTCAAGAAACATAAAAAAAAATTATTTGAAGCATTATTTCCACAACTGTCGTTGTATTCTATTTTTTTCTTATAAAAGTGTGTTTATCTTTTTCATATTGTGGATTATATGGAAATTAAGCTATATTAAAGACTGCAGGGACTTCTATGCAATTATTCATAGTTTTATTTTTCTCCTAAGATTGTTCACTCGGCATAGAAAAGTTAACTCTTAACATATTTTTTCCTCGTTGGGTTATTTCAATTTATACATGAGTAAGAAATAGGTTAACATCACAGTAGGGACATACAATGCATAAGATAGGCAATAAAATTAATCTCAGATGTTCCTGTCAACAAAGGTTATTACTCAGTCTAGTTCATATTTATGTTTTTAATAGATATGAATAGAATCAATACGTCAATGAGACAACAATCTTGACACGGAAAAACCAAAAAGATATAGAGAGAAAAACGTACAGTCTTCAACAATATATCAGTGCCTATACGATATTTCAAGCTCTTAAAATTAACTAACCCGAGACGGAAAAATAAATCAAATAGATTTAAGAGAGAGTAAGGCAATATTTTCCATCAACACCAAATTCTTCAAATAGCAAAACTTATAAGACAAGATCAAAGATAACCACTGACGAAGTTTCAACTTCCTGACGCAGAAAAAAACACATGACGATGTGGCGGGATTAAAACGGTTTTTAATGAAGTTTGTTGCACTCAAAGATGTGGGTTCTACCCAAAGTATTGTTTTTGTTATGAAAAAGTAAGAAGATACCAAAAGGCAGTTAAAAAACCAAATGTCGTCTCGAAGTTTTGATAGGAAAATATTCACTTCCGATTTAAAATGTCAATTCTGGAGACATTAATTGCTTAATTAACGCTGATTCTAAAAATATATGGTTTCTCAAAACTTTTGATTCAAATAAAGGAGAAAAGAAGTACTTCAGGTTTACAAAATTTCACTTCCGGTTTCATTTAATTGAACCTTACTTCACACTGATTCCAAAAATGTAAAGTTCTAGTAATTTTCACATGAAAATAATGCAAAAACG